AGGCTCTTATTGTTGGGTAGAAATGGTTGATAGCATGTTCAATGAAACTTTGAGGAATATCTAGGAATCATACTCTAGCATTCAGTTCAAGTATTTTAAATTCTATAGCATCTGATGATATTTTAATGATTACTTGGAGGTATTAAAATTGTTTTAGTAATTTCCCTATCTCTTTTATATCCGAGCATATGTTACGCGAATGTCGTAGGGAAATATGTAGGCAAAAGAAAACCAACATCAGATGTGGAAATTTGTGGGAGTATTGTGCACTAATGCATTGGAATATTTGCTGGAATTAGAGTTTTTTCAGGGTATCAGTAGCTTGCCTCTATATATGGATAGTGCATACCTATGTTACTTGGATTTGGGGTTATCATTCTCTCATACCCATGTCCTGATAGGTATAGGTGTCGGACATGGGTACTTAAAAAAAATGACGAGTCGGAGCAACATTGGAACGTACTTAACTTTTGAAAAAGTGGCATTAGGTGGATTCTGATTTGACTTGAAATATGCTGTTTGATTGTGTTTTAAAACTTATTATATCATTTTCTGATGACAATGGCATGTATATTGACAACATAAATCTGTGGCAATGGACATTCGATGGTGACGATCATTGTTCAAAAGGTTCAAAGTTGCTCATGCGATTACTATGGGCACATGTTCACTGTCAATAGGATAGAATACTAAGTTGCTTTTGGTTTCCATAGGTTTAGGAACTAGGAAATAAACCCACTTTCTCTTTGCTGCAACAATGTTTAAAGTTATTCAATTGTTTACCTGCAAGGCTGAGTTGTTATGGATAAGTTGCAGACAAGATTTGAATGATTTAAATTTAGCTTTTGAAGATCCGAACTTACATCTTCGGTGGGAAACACCCAGTGATATTCTACAAAAAGTCATTCGTTAGAAAGAGTAAGCACTTCAAAATTGATTAGCATTCTCCATCCCGAGTTAAAACAAGCTCTTTCTGACTGCATAAGAAAGAATGATTTTCTATTCCAATTATTTGGAGAAGATAGTGGCTTTAAGACTTGGTACACCAGATATTTCGAGTCATCGTTTCACTGGCATGGAGTTCCTAGAAGGGCTTTGGTTACTGAGAGCATTGCCATAGCCCCTGCCTTGAACTTAGGACCGTCCCTGGCTCCTGCTCCTTCTCCCACTTTTGGATTTCCTAGTTTGAGTCATGAAAGTCCGGCATCTTTGCCCTCTTTTTTTTCCTATGCCTTCTCACGAAGCTGCAGCTCCAATAAACGGTCTTATGAACACTGTAAGTCTAGCCAACATGGATCCGAGACACAACGGGACTAATAACAGCAGAACAATTATTATTGCTTGTGTCGTGACTGCAGTAGTAACGTCTGTTGTTGCTGCGTTGTTTTTCGTTTTATGCCGTCTTATAGGTTCTTCAGATAGACAAAACAATGAGAGGCCCTTTCTCGGTTTAAGCTTAAATGAATTCTCCGGTGGTATGTACTTTACCCTCAAACTGTTATTTTCTAAAAGCTATCTGGAAGTTGTTGATTGAACTTTTTTTTTCAGGTTCTCCTCATGCATATGCTTTTGGAACTAATAAAGAAGAGAAACTAGGTCATCAATCATTTGGAAATGAATCAATCCTACATAAAAAGCCCCCGACTAATGGGAATGTTTATATTCAATCTAATGCTAATACCTATCCTTCGATGGGAAGTCATCATTTGGAGCTGTTGCTGCTGCCACCAAAGTCTCAGCTGAATCTTCTGATATATCAGGCAATACTAAACCACATCTACCACTTCCTCCAGGAAGGATCGGTGCTTTCCATCCTGGATTACCTCCTTTGAAGCACTCTCCGGACAGAGCAGATCCTCTTCCTCCGGAGCCTCCTGCCCCGATAAGAGCTAGCCCTCCTCCACCACCTCCTGCCCCCATTAGAGCTAGTCCTGCACAACCTCCTGCGCCGCCTCGCTCTATGAAACCTACTGCTGCTGCTATGTCCTCTCAACCTCCTGCACCACCTATGCCTCCGGGTGCCAAACCTGGTTCTCACCCACCACCTATGCCTCCAGGTGCTGGTCTCGGACCTCCCAGGCCACCTCCACCAATACCTTCAGGTCCCAAGGTGCCTCGACCACCTAGTGGTCCGCAACGAACAACAAATGCTATCTCTGGTGAGGGATCTGGCTCAGCAGACAATGGCAACACTCCTAAAGATAAATTGAAGCCATTTTTCTGGGATAAAGTTGCAGCTAACCCTGATCACTCGATGGTCTGGAATCAGATTAAATCTGGATCTTTCCAATATGTAGCAGTTCTCTTTCTTGTTTCTCCTTTTACTATTTTATGCCAATGGATCAATATGGGATATGTTTATACTATGTTTGCAGGTTCAACGGGGAGATGATTGAAACCCTGTTCAGGTATGCAGCCGCTGACAAGAACAAAAATGATAGAAAGAAAGAGACCTCTACTCAGGAGTCCGTGCCTCAGTATATTCAACTCCTTGATCCCAAGAAGGCACAAAATTTAGCAATCCTTTTGCGGGCATTGAATGTAACCACAGAAGAAGTTTGTGATGCACTTCGTGAAGGTGATTTCTTCCATCTTATTGTCCTTTTAAGTATGCACTTGTGAGAAACATATGCCTAAGTCTTTTATACGTGCTCCAGACCGTTTGTGTGGCATACACGCCATCAGCAGAGCATGCTTAGCTATTAATTATTATGGCTACTGGCATTTTAACCAGTAACTATAATATCCGTGCTTTCAACTACTTGTGGATAATTTCGATAACTAACCAAGAATTGAGTCACAATCAATCCTTAAATATGACCTTCCATGGAATGTGAAAATTTTCATATATGATTTGTTACTTTCTCTCGTAGCTGATTTCGATGGTGTTTTGTACTTTGTAAATCATCTTGGAAGAGAATCGTAGTTGCGAGGTGTTATATACCTACAGTGACTGATCTTATGCCTCATGAATGTAGAGCATTTCATTGAAGCTAAACTATACGTGATACAATAGTTTCTCTTGCTCTATCCGATTTAGGGTGGAGGAAAATGAAGTTAACATACTGACCGAGCTTTTCTATACTTTTCTATTTAAAGAAAAATTATTAACATAACCATGTTCTTCAAACTCGTTTAAAAACATGAGTCTGCTAACAACCAAATAACCGCATTGGGTTCCCTTATATATTTGTTATTTTTCTTGACACGGAGAAGGTAATACTAATGTGTTAAGTTTTCGATCATGATATCCTAACCTGTTGTTTTAAATCAGGAAATGAGCTCCCTGTTGAACTCCTTCAAAATTTATTGAAGATGGCCCCGATAGCGGATGAAGAACTCAAACTTAGAATGTTCAATGGTGAAATTTCCCAACTCGGTCCCGCTGAGCGGTTCTTGAAAGTCTTGGTTGACATCCCGTTTGTTTTTAAACGAATGGAAACCCTGGTTTATATGTGCTCTCTTTATGACGAGGTTATTTTCGCTAGAGAGTCCTTCGAAACATTAGAGGTGAGTCATTAATTTTAATTTGCATGACTTGCAAGAATCACAAAATCGACATTTAGGTCCAAGAATTTATGGAACATGTTTTAGATGGTCAACAAAATGTATGTTTTATTCAATTGAATTCTGTCTTTACAATGTTGGCAGGTTGCTTGCAAGGAATTCAGAAGCAGCCGCTTATTCCTCAAGCTTTTAGAAGCTGTTCTTAAAACCGGAAAACCTGAATGGTGGGACATTCCGTGGTGGTGCACAAGCTTTCAAGCTCGACACGCTTTTGAAGTTATCGGATGTTAAAGGAGTAGATGGAAAGACCACACTATTGCACTTCGTTGTCCAAGAAATTATACGCACAGAAGGCATGAAAGCTGCCAGGGTTGCAAGAGAAAACAAAAGTTCCAGTGATCTTCTTGAAGATGTTTCCCCGGATACAGAAGAGCACTACCATAGCCTTGGTCTTCAGGTGGTTTTCCATCTGAGTAGTGAACTCGGAAATGTCAAGAAAGCAGCAGCTATTGATGCCAAAACCTTAACAGGAACCGTTGCCAAACTTATAATGGACTTGTAAAAGCATGAGATTTCTTGAACTCGGAAATGAAAAATTCAATGGAAGAAAGTGGTTTTCATGAAAAGATAGAGAGTTTTATGCAGAATGCAGAAGTTGATGTCACATCATTACTCGAGGAAGATAAGAGAATAATGGCAATGGTGAAGAGCACTTGCGATTATTTTCACGGTAACGCGCACATAATTTTAGATAAGGTTTGCAAAGAAGTTAGAGATTCCCCAAGGCAGCTGGTAAAAGCACATAAAAAACAGGAGTCCAATGTATCATCATCTTCCTCCGAGTCTCGTTTTGCAACAACGTCCCCTGATCCTCATCAGAAGCTTTTTTCTGCAATCGCAGAACGGAGGAACAATTTTAGCTCTAGTTTCGATGATGAGGGTTGATGATATTGTTAGTTTAAAGAAGGTATTCTGTTTATATGCTGAAACTTAATACTAAGACGTATGCACCACAGATTATAATATCAGTTAGATCTAAATTCTGTTTTCCCGCCCAATGTCGGCAGTAAACCGTTCCTGTCGGAATTTTCGATAAAAGGAAGTTCTCTAAAGTACCAGAAGAAAGGGGTTCATATTCAATGTTGGATCTTTATGAAGCTGTTACATCAAAAACTGCAGCTGAGACTAGCCTTTCCTGTTGGATTGGATTTCATGGTCATTGTTGACTTCCCTCCTCGCATCTGGTCATCTTCTTGTGCAAATATTAGTAGAGTATTGAAGATTCTTTCATTTTTTTTGTCATTGAATTTGTAATCTTTGTTAATTTACGTCTCTGTTAATAATTTTCTTTCGAAATGCTTGCACTGTGAATGCGAAGAAATAACCTTCAAAGATCGGATCAAACTACGAATTTGCTCGGAACTATGGATTTTTCAAGTATATTGCATGAATCAACTTCACTAGAACAATACACCGTTGCTGTTTCTAATAAAAAGGGTATAAAGAATTAATACATAATAAACTGTTTTCTTCTGTTTTTCATCGAGATTTGAATGATTATAAGCACAGATATCTATTCAATACAACAAAACATATTCGTATACAGGGGTCGGTAATCCCAGAGCCAGGATTCATCACGAAGGTGTAGCATGCGACGTGAAAAACGAAAAAGAAAATCATTATTTCTCGACTGATTTCTGGAAAACTTCATCTGGTTTACATAAAGCTATGTCTTCTTGGCCTGTGGACACAACATCAATGAAAAAAATGAGCTTTTGAGTTCATGGAGAGTCATCTGCAAAATAATTTTCTCATTGAAGGAATCTTAAGAACGAATCATTTCGAATCGACATTGACATTTATGCGCACTTTCAGGTTTCTTCACTTTTTCTTCTATATATGCGTCCGACAGATATTCAGATATAGGCATGAAACTATGATCCTAAATCTTCGAAATGAATGCTAGGAACGAATGAATCATCTGGCGATGACATTGACATTTACATGCATTCTAGACTCTCTCGATGTATATCCGAACACGGGTATGGGAAACTTAAGGCGTTGGTGGGAGAATGAAACAGAAAAAGTTATACCTTTTTCAAATATTTTTTATGAAGCTTCAGTGCCCCAATGCAAGCTTTCTTTGCGTCCAAATTTCCAGTCATATCATTCAGAATCTGATTAAAAATAATAAAAATAAGACATGAGAGCATTAAGACAACGTAATATAGCTTTTTTTTTGGTATAAATTTCGACATGTTTGTGTATTCATGCCATTTTCGCTTATGTTTCACGGTTTTGGAAGGTCCAATGCATGATAGTGGTGTGCCAGGTTGATTGGTTTTATCGTCATTCGGAGAGTAATTTGAGAAAAGCTACAAACTTGTAAGCTCACCTTAACTACGTCGTCGAGGCCCCGGGCTTCATGCAGTAGCTTTGAACTCTTATCTTTTAAGACGCTGGCAACAAGGAAAACAGAGATCGGGAGTGGAGCATCAGAGCTTTTGATTTTCATATTTTCTCTCTCGTACTTCCCGCATTGACGTGTTGATTTTGGTTTCCCTTTACTGGAGACTACAGCCTTGGTGATCTTTGATCCAGGTTCTTCATAGAGAGAGAACAAGTCGGGATCGTATTCGAGAGCCCACATCATCTGCAGAAAGTTTAGGTAACAATACAAAGTGACTTTATGAGTAAAATTCTTGTGAAGAATGCCAAAACACAAAAGTATGGAATCCGTAAACGCAGGAACTGATCTGTGATAGTCGTGGAAATCACATAAGAGCGCTCAACATGGCACAACCAAATATTTATGAAATTGTTTATCAAGTATATAAATGATATAATTCATAGGACTTTATCTTGATCCTTTAGCTTTATTTTCCGGAAACCAACTGTATTACAGATTAAAGAACCAAGTTCGGGGGAATGATTTTTCTTCAATAAAATATGCAACCAAATGCATCATAACAATCATTCTTTAGCCTTAGAAGTTTTGAGCATACCTCCCATAAGTACAATGAATCACAAAACGAAAACTCTCTACGAAATAAAACCATTAGCATCCGGAAAGCAAAGAGATAGTCACCTCCACCCAGTGTTTCTGTAAAACAATATAAGCGAGCAACGTAAGTTAGGTTCCTACCAAAATGTTCAAAGAACTATGTTACTCGGACTTGGGCGTGAGTGACGAATATGGATATATGTCCAACATAGGAATGTTCAATCTTTTCCAAGATTTCCAGGTATTTGAGAATCCTTTAGAGGATCATATCCTTAAGTCCACGTCAGGATATTCGTTCGACATTGATATTTGAATAAAAATGAGAAGTCGAAAATAGTGCGGAAGAAAGCGCAATGCGTAACACCAGAGAACAAAAGAAATAAATTTCATTTCATACCGAAATGGTTATGAAGTTTCGGATCAATAACTTGAGTTACTGCGGCTAAATAACCAAGTTGTGTCTCTACCCCAACGGAATTCTCGGTGCATCTGAAATTTCCTCGCTTTAAGATTTAAATAGGAACATAAATCAAAGAAAGCCATATGCTGCCATAGTTTTTGCCAATAAACTAAAATGAAAGTAAACATACCAATCTGCGCATCAGACGTTCAAAGCACCAAAACGCATCAGCTTCGTCTTCAAGAAGAATAATCATGGGAGAGCAAAGATCACTCATTCCTGCTCAACATTATAATTGAATTTAGCTTTCGGAATTAGTATTTGATTACAAATGTAGATAAAAAAAGAATTATTATTCCGTCTGTTACAAATCAAGGTAGAATGAATAGAGATTACAGTAGATGAATTTTACAGCTATTAAATTTACACACCATTAACTATATAAAGACCTACTAACCTAAGTCGCACAGAAATTTTCAAAATTTTTCCATGTATTTGGACCCTTAGAGGGTCACATACGGACCCATGTCTAGATATGTATCGGACACGATATTAATAGCATTTTAAGGAAAATGATATATATATCCAAGGTTTGATCGAGTGAGGCAGTCAACAAATAGAAACTATAATCAATGTTTCAGAAAAAGAAATTACTCGCCTTGACCATAGCCAACATCCGTATCTATCCAGGCATAAACGGAGAGTATATCCCAAAGTTTCGACAAATTCTCTTGTTTCTCATAGAATACTAAAGTCCTGTCAGTGCGAATAACATCAAGACCTGACAGAAACATAAATATGAGAAACACTATAACGACTCAGAGAAGAAAGCAACAAATCAAAGCGAGGCATGCACTTGAAGTCCAAAACAATAAATAACCTATTTGATGTAGTGTAAGCAACCACTGGATTACTTTCTTATCAAACGGACCACGAGGAAGTAGCTTGTTCACCATGTCAGCATTATTAGCATCTGTACCTGAATAAGTGATCACGTATTAAAGCCTGGCTTATTTCACTCTCAGCTAAACGCTACTTTTTAAAAAAGGTACCGTGCCAGTAACTTACCTGGATTTGTCTCCAAAAGAACTAAAGGGTCTTGAATGGGCTGACCGTCATCGGTGATGACAGGTGCTGTAATATATTTTCCACTTCCAATAACAGGAAAGATTTCACGACATTCATTCTTCCATCTAGCATATTGCACCCTGAGGTATAGAAGTGAGAAAAAAACACTCGGAACATAATAATGAAGCCCCAGCAGAAAACTGATACAAGACGTGAACAATGAATTACCTTCGATGCTGCCGTATTTGATCCCTTTCATCAAATGTACTATCGGGATCATAACAGCCAAGGAGAAACTCCCAAACTTCTCCCCTAATTGATGGATGGATCCCCTGTATTTTTCCAACCAAATAATAATAAATAGAAACCAAAGCAAATAAGCATATATATATATATTTAAACACACAAAAACATAACCTTACACAACTGGATATATGAATATGCTCTTCTACGTAAGATTTAGAAATGATACAAGTCAGAATATGCAGTTCAGTTGTGTTGTTGTATAATAGATGTTCGCACTCACACACACATTGATAACTGAATTAAATGATCTGCCACCAAGAACAAACAATCTTTCCAACATGAACATGCACTTACCCCACGTTGGATTCGACGTAGAGTTTTTCCGATATCCAGATGTCCATCTGGAGAAAATGCAGCATGCCATTTTCTCGCACTTAGAGTTTTACCAGGCTGCACAAGCAAATAAACAAGAAAAGCATCTTTATTGAATCAAATCACCATCTCTTTTACAATTACTGTAGAACTCATTTACAAAATTAACAAAGATAAAAAGGAAAACACTTTCTTTTTCAAAATGGAAGCAAAAATTTTAGCCATGGGAAGAATTGATTTGACAACTAAGTTCCGTGGACTCGAGTATCGGTAGTCAACACTGGTATGTGCTCACGTGTTTGACTAGACTTTGAACTAGCAAAATCAGCTGAAAAGGATCCAAAAATTAGATATGTTTATTAAATTCTATAGTTAATGATGTAATTTTATAAAAAAATCATTCATATTTAAATACAATCAGCTTTTCTAAATTCATTCATCTAGTCAAAATTATTCCTCCCTTAATAGCAATAGCACTTCGGCATGAACACCAATATCAATCAATACACTTTTGTCTATTCTTCAAGTCAATTTTCCATTTTCATCTCTACTATTATCCATTTCATCTTAAACAATCCATTTGATCAATGATGTCCGAATTGAACCGAAGAAAGGGTGGACCGAATTTCTTCTCAACAATACTATGACTCGGATGAATGTAAGATACGAAAATATATCCAACATGGGTATACTCCATTTTTTTTTTCTCTTCTTAACAGCCTGACTGTGAATTGATCAAGATAAGAAACCACGATCTACATCAAGCTCATTGTCTAAAACATTTGACAGCACCATTTTACATATGTATAAATTCAAGATCAGATCTAAATGAACACTCCCCTATGGAATAAATTCAGCTAAGCTAAAATTCAACCAAACTAGAAACAATAATAAAGAAAAAAGAAAGCTGTAATCTCTTTAAAAAAGAAAGAAAGGTCTAGCTTTTCAATCAAGAAGAACAAACCTTGATCTTAAATCTGGTTCTAGGAACATCAGTGCATTCAGGCCGGACTGCATAATAAGAATCAGCAGGTTCTCCAGGAGCTCCCCACATTTACCAAGAAAACATAAAACAAAAACAAATAGATTTTTTTTCTTTTTGCACTGAAAATTATTTTTTTCTTTTCTATTTTGCAGCAGCACCACCAAAAGCTGGAACTTTTGAAGATAAGATTAAATACCCAGAAAGAAAAATCAATGGAAGTGAAGGAGAAGGTTCACAAAATGGAGGGTCCAGCCAAGTCAAGTTCTTCAAAGAACCAAAAAAAAGAAAAAAAATCCTATATTTTTCTTTAAGAGAAACAATATAATTAAAAAAAAAACTTATTTTGGGGCTAATCATGGGTATATTAGGTGGGTGCTGGTGCTGGTGCTGGTGCTGGTGCTGGTGGTTGTGGCAGCCATGATCTATCTCCTCACAAACAAATTGGACATTAAATGCTGTTTTAGGCGTGTATTTTATTAGTCTTCCTCTCTTGTTTCTCTGTCTTTTCATCTACATTTTTAACTACCACTTTATTTTTTTATGTACTATTATATTCCAAAAAGAAAATACTTAATATTACTAAAATTATATAATATAATATAAATTTTCAAATATAAAATAAACAATTTTTTAATTACAGTTAAATTTGTATATTATATCAATATAAAACTGTAAATATTAATACGATATTTTAGTTATAAAATATAAAAAAATATGTGTATATTATAAATTTTAATTCTAAATATTAGTGTAAAAATAAAAAAATATTTTAAGTTTAGTTAAATTTATTATATTGTATTCAATTTTTAAAATATTCGAAATACATGAGAATCATAATTTTAATTTATTAGAATTTAATTATTCACAAATTAATTAAGAATTCACCGTTTTAAAACTACAAGTAATTAATTTAAATTGACATATCCAATTACGTTTATATAATTCACTTTAATTCGTATATACTATAAGTAACTTTTATATAATTTCCAAAATCCAGAGTTTGATAACAAACTTAATGATTACTATCCTTCAATATCCTAGACATGTTTAAAGATTAATCATTCATCAAAACTCGAACAAATATCTAATATTTAAATGGTTAGAAAAGAATCTATCAAATGATTTTAGTGGTAAAAATGAAAAGTTGTTTTTTTGGAATAGTCATTAGTATTCGATCTATTGATTGATTTATCTAAATCAAATTTTTAGAGGTCCATATGGAGTAATCTTCTCAACCCAATTTGCTTCATTAAAAAACGTCAGAGTTCGAACCTCTAACTTTACCAAAAGAATATAATGTCACATTCTACTAGACCAATTGGTTGTTAATAAAAAGAGAAAGTTATTATTTTTTGAAAAATTCAAGTTCAGGCATATGCATTTATAGGGCATGTATGCATCATCAATGACAAAACAAAAATTATCTTATAATCACTCAAAATTATTAAAAAAATAGTTGTACGAAAAATGTTAACTCTAAACATTATCATTAAGAAAAATATTAAACTGGCTTAAAATATTAGCTGAATTTGTATTTCAATATTTAAGATATGATGACAACTGAATGTAACTTGTCTTTAAAATTTATTTATTTTATGTTATATAATTTATATTATATGAAAACAAAATATATTATAATATAAATGTAAAAACATGTTGAGTTTTATATATTTACAAATTTAATAAAAGAAAAAACATAAAAATATATATTAAATAATATTTAAAATATTTTTATTAAAACATATTAATAAATTTAAATAAAATTGAACTAATCATCAATAAATATGAACAGATTTAATCAAAAATTGAAGGGCGGGTTTCGAATCAAACTAGACAAAATTTGTATAGTTATTTATAGCATGATATTCAATAGCAAAAGTTGAAGTACCAAAATGAAATTATTTCCTATTATATATTACAAACTAAAATGAGAAAAAGAAAGATAATTTTATATGCAAAAACGACTACATTTCGACTCTGTTTCTGTAGAATTATTCTCATTAAAAGTATTTACAGAATAACAAAATTCTCTTCTTTTTTCTCTTGCTAGTATTTCAAATATTTTTACCTAAATCTATTTTTTTCATCAGCCTTATTGTATTGTATAAAATTGAATCCAAAATCCCTGCAACCTGCACTCCGAGGAGAAGATTTATGAATAATAAAGTACTGGTCTAGTAAAGAAAAAATAAATAAATAAAATATTGTCAACTATGGATTAGAGCTCTAACTGAGTTGAGTTGAGCTCAAGTTGTAAGAATTTTCTAACTTCGATCAAAGCTTAAATTCCACTAAAATTTAGTTATGATTCAGATGAAAATCAAACCCCTTAGAAGAAGACTTTATAAAGCTCGTTTACCTAAAAAAATGAACTTAATTTTCAGGCTTGGCTTCAGAATCAAATATTTATATTGTGGGATGGGCAAAACTTTAATAATTCTATGGATTTTAAATCGATTCACTCTGACTAAATTCTTTTTAAGGAAAAAAATAGACCCTTTAAATAAATCATGGTAATTATGATAAATATTTATTTTGTCCCATTCTAACTTTCATACTCTTATAATATTCTATGAATTTTTCTTATATTTAACATATATGAAATATATTTACTAAAAACATAAATATTTAAATATTATTTATATTTATATACTAAAAAAATATACACATTCATAAATAAATTATAAATATATAATATAGATAAATGAAAAAATATAATATTATACAGTTAAATCGAAAAATCATTATTAAAAAAAACGAAGTGGAGCGAGATAGAACGATATGGGGGCAGTCATGGATGTTACAGATATATACGAACGTCCATGCAAACGTGAGGACAGAAGTGGACGAGGCAATTCTTGCCCTCACTCTATTGCAGTCCCTATTTGTCTTAAACTCGAATTCAAACTTAAAATGAAAATTTTCAATATTATTTATCGATTCATTTGACTCTAATATTAGAATGCTCGAATTTAACTTGTTCAAACTACTTAATTTTGAGTTTGATCTCGAGCTCGATTTGATTATAATATATGAGTTTTGTGAGGTACTAACCGTGAAAACGCCTCCAATTATAGCGCAGAGGTTGGTGATGAAGTGTGAAAATGATTTCGGCTTTTCAATTATTAAAACCTGTGAAAAGGAAGAAGAAAACATGTTCAGTTTATGAAAAATAAGAAGGATTGAAGGTAAAACCTGATTAAAGTAATTAAGCAGTTAGGAGAATAACCTGCATCGGAGATAACTCGAAATGAAATTTCGCAACAGGTACGTCTATGCTTTGTGACAGACTGCTGTGCGCTGTGTACTCGTAATCCTCGAGTAATGAACTTTCACGAGAATGTATTCTAGTGACCACCTCTGTTTTCACTACTTGAAGATAATGCTCAATCTGAAAAAGCAATCAAGAAAGATGAAACTTGTAAGTTTAAAAGAGTTTTTCGAGTTTCGGAGCCAGTCTTCGAGATTTTATACCCTTTCACAAGTTTCAATATTGTCATCGTCAATCAAGGTACAAACATATCTTACTCAAGCAATTGATTACTTTTGAGGAAATAGCAGAAAAAAATATCAAATAAAGGAAGAAAGAATGGACTTACAGTAACATTTGGTTCAAAATCACGGTGATTAACGAACGATAGACCATTCAATTTGTCATGGCTTCTACCGAGATAAGGTATTAGTCGCTTCACATCACTCAGTACTCTGGGTGATATTGTTTTACCAAAGGAAAGATGGCTTATGACATGAGACATGTTCATTTGAGAAGAATCAAAAGAATGGGCTCCTGAACGAGCAGAAATGATAAGGTTGCCAGGAATCTGCAAAGTGCAAGACAATTAGTGTTGTCAGTTTATCTCGAGAGTAAACAGAAATGACCGGAAGAACAAATTATAAGTAAAATAAGTCCAATCATCAGAATCTAGTCAGGGATCGTAGTTATCACCTTTTTTACACGCACATATCCTTCAATTCTACATCCTCCTGTCAATGGCGCTAAAGCCAGCTTCTGGTCCTGCAGTTGAACCGGTGAAACCAATTCTTCCATTGCCTGGAAGAAACAGATGATTGCATCGAGTCATGCAGGCAACTTTATGTAATATGATCTTAAAGCTTATCTGTATATATGAATGGCCATTTTAAAACTAATTTTTAAGTGTACCTTAACCAATGCTTCGGAATCACGATCTCCGTAATAAGATTCGTGCTCATGTTGTCCATGTTCATCCCTGAAATGCATACAAAGTCAGAAAGGAAAATCTGCATACAGAAGGTTCAGCAGCATTAAACAGCCTACAAGGAATGAAAATCATCTTCAAGTTCGTGGTCAAAAGAATGTGGAAGGTTAAAAACATGTCTGAAAACATAGGACATATACAAGTTTCAGATGTCCGAATATAATATTTTCTTTTACCTCAAATCACTGCCTTTACGAAAGATGCGAATGGATGGATACCCTTGAACGTGATGCCTGTAAGAGAAAGAACACAGAACAAGGGTCAAATAATGACATAATCATATTCTAAAACGATTAAGTGTCAAACAAAGAAATACCTCTTACACAAATCAAAATCTTCAGTGCAATCAACCCTTGCCAAAATAATACGTCCATCCGTTTCTGGATTAAATCTGTAAAAAGGAAAAAAGCAAGTTTGCAAAATTCAATGCTAAATCAAGAAACTCTTTACACATTAATTCCATGGGAAAGAATGATGTGTTCTCAGACCTTTCTCTAATTATAACTGCAGCTTTCTCCCATGATGGTCTCTGAAACCAAATAAACGTGGCAAGGCAACTGATGAGCCAAGACACTCAAGCTCAAAGTAGGAAAAAGGCACAGCTTCAAGCTCAATATAAAACAATTCATAAAAAAGGAACAAGAATAAAGCTCTACAAAACACAAACCTTAAGTGCAAGCAATTATTATTTTTTATGAAACCTTTGGACTAAGAAGCGTGCTTCTTAAGCATCGTGACAATCCTTCTAAGAATCTCATTTAAAGAAGTGAGCTTATTCAAATTCATGGACACCAATTTCCTCCTTATTAAGTTCATTTAGGATAAGAAAAAAATGAAGTGTGTATATACAGTGGCGGATCCACTAATGTGTGACTGTAGGACGGTGCCCACCCTGAAAAATGAATTTTCTTCGAGTAATTGTCTATTTTATTGATTGTACACACCACGTACAAAAATTTTATGTTGTTAATATATATGTTTGTCTACTCTAAAAAATATTTATGGATCCGCCACTATATATACACACATCTTGAGAATATAGTAGCTCTAAATACCATTGTTTTCTATTTCAGAAGGAAACTAGCTGGCAATAAGCACCTTTAACCATGTCTGAGTGCTGATAAAGGCATCAGTAAATAGAATCAATTAGTTTTATTTCTGTTTCCTAGTTTGCAAGCCAGGCAGCTTAAACCTCTACCTATTCATCTTGCTGACTAGTTTCACCAAAACACTATCAGCAAAATTTTCCTAAAAAAACTAGAAAACAAAATGTAACAGAAAAATGCCACTACAGTCAGCTCGACCTAAGATTTCATACTTCTAATCAGCATGGGTTTAATTAATTTCTATTAGCTATTGTTTACAGTATGAGACAAAAATGCATGTGCAGATATGCACACAGAGACCCACACAAAAAAGGCCTGGCTACAGAAAAAATCATATCAGAGATGATATTTGAAGGTTATTAGAACGCTCTTACTTAACCCAAAAAAGAAAAACCAATATAAATGGTCATAATATAAAAGTACATAGTCACAAAATTCATTATTTGAAACAGAATATTTGGCAACTATATCAGCATACTATATAAAATTAGTTATGAATGATTCCTCTACACAGCTGAAGAGCTAAATAATAATGCTTTCAGAAAACATTCAGAAAACACATGAAGACAAAGATCATGCATGCTAGTAATAGATTACCAGGCGAGTACTCCAGTAGCACCAAGGAGCAAAAAAATTGACGACCAAAATTGGATACCTGCAAGAAAAACCATTCAAAACAAGTAAATAGAGGTATCAGCAAGAGTGGCATTTAACAAAGAAAGCACCAAAACTGGGAACGTAACATATAAATTAAGTGGTTTGCAATCTTGGCATTCAACTTACTCATTTGCAATTCTGTGAAAGTTATCACTATTCAGTGGTATGGAACCCTGAACAACTTCTTCATCAACTTCCTCTCCATGCTGAATGACTTGTGGAACCGGTTCTGAACGATACTCGACACTCGTGCCACTTAAATCTGGATCTATAGTAAACTTTCGAATTGTTTTTGTTATATTCAACCTGTTCTGTTAACAGAATGCACAAATTTAGTCATCTGGACCATAGTTTACATGTTAAAATGCCACCAAATACACACAGACAACTTGAAGAACGGAGTATGAATATAGATATTGACAGGAAATTATTAACAAAATACTCAGGCATATGGTACATTTCAGTTTCTTTAGAATAAAAATATTATGATATAAGTTTTGGAGAAATAGGATATAGCTAATCCAAAAGTTTTCAGACAAACTCTATTCCAGGCATTTGAACTTTGAAGTGCATTGCTAAAGCCTCCAGCTAGTAAAACATTTTATATCAAGGCAAGATCCATCTCTTATAAGATTCAGTGAAAAACAGAAGCATAAGTTTTCCTTTTCAATAAAATTAAACAGATGAAACACTTCCCATGATAGATACGTACAGTTCCCAAGACATCGCTCACATCAACAGATGCAAATTCACACGAGAGCGCTGGAAAACTGGAGATCAATAGGAATCGTCAGCCAACATAATTATCTATTGTTAAAAATAAAGCTCGAACAATGTTATAGGATACAACAAATAAAAGAGACGCATATTAAGATCACTGAAACTGTAGCAACCTATGAGTTTTGAAGAAAACTGATATAAGCATGTTGAAACATGCATGGGTAATGTTTAACTGATAGTCCAGAAATCTCAAGCAGAATAAAGTACCCCACAAACCAAAATATGATGTAATCTTGTAATTTATTAGCTATCAAGCAAGAATATTGCAGCAGTATTTTTCTCCTAAGCTAAATTGAGACCAAACATGAGGTCATATCCTCACACCTGAAATTCTATTCATTTCAAGCAACTACTGCCCAGTACACTGTCCATAGATGTATGGAAAAAAATTATATAACCACATGTGTATATCTACAAAGTGAACAGGTGTTTGCTTCCAATTTGACATAAAGTTCACTTGGACCCTTGCATATATTAGTAACAACCAGCTATTATCACAATCCATGCAAAGAATCATCCATGTAAATGCACATTTCCATATAGAATATACATACTAATAGATATACTCAACCTATTGCTTCTATTTTTCACATTTTAAACATGACCAGAGAAAAACTATGACAGGCAACATGACGATGCCAGTTCAAGGCTAACTTTTACAGAACAAAGTTTAACTCAATTTATTCCTATTGTCTTTAATAAATTAGATAAGGATGATGCACCTGTAAAGGAATTTGAAAAGAAAAATAAAAGAAAAACCAATAAGAACTCTGACTCCAATATCAAAGATCAAGATTGTGAGCTAAGACACAGAAACATAAAGCTTAAGACTTTAACTACACAAAGGCTTTACAACCTAATGAGAACATCGAATGATAACAATGATACAGAAAATGAATGCACCTGATGTTAAAATCAATCCGTAAAAATTCCCCATCAGAACTATTGTCAACGATAATGGATGTTGAGGTGCTGACTGTTAAATAATTATTCAATTCCTGCAAAACATGTCACAGATTGTGAATGAGAAAACAACTTTAATTGCAAGGTAGTAGCTTCATTCCTAAACTACAATGAATCCCGTAAGCATCATCATAGAAATAAAGGTGAATGGAAACAACTACTAAGATCAAAATATTTCAGATAAATGCTGCTTGGATGAAAAAACAACCTACACCCCAAGCAGGTAAAATCAAATCGAAGTTGGAGTAATATAAAGGATGCCTACCATTCCAAATAAAAGGACCATAGAAACTGCAGCTACTATGGATAACCATGCACCCAATACCGATGCCTCTGTCAAATCTCTAGGGATTTTCCTGCAGATAAAGAAAGGAATCGTTGATAAAAATCATATTACCATGATACCAACGTTTACTTAACCATACAATACAAAGGCATAAAAACATGAATTTCAAATTCACAAATATATTCTATTTTGGTATTTTGAATTCACTACCTATTCACGAATTTAAAATATAATCGTGGATATTATATTTACATGTATTTTATTACACAATTTACGCTATTTTAAATTTGAAATGTAAGTTCTCAAACGCAGCCTTACAATTTTAGCTCATTCGCCACATTACTATCGAAGTCTTAGCAACCAAACAAAAATTCGTCGAATTTATTCAAACGGAAAATCATCCGAAGCTAACAGGTGATGGTTTCCATTATCCAGTACATAAATAAAATAAAATTTACAACCTACACAGGTCGAAGCTTTCTTATAAAATGCTCAGATCCATACAGATTTCGAACTTAAATTATTCGCAACAATGATCATACAGTTTTAACAACAACATAAAGAATGCGATGAATCGAATTGGAGAAAAGAGATATGTCATATGAACCTGTAGAAATCAACGGATTTGATCTTGCTTGTAGATATCATGGCCGATAATAATCAATCAGAACCAGATTTCAGAAGAGAAATGTTTGAAATATATATAAGAATTAAAAACTTAAATTTAAATTCCAAGAGATTCGGCAATTGAGAAAGAGCATTTGTTTTTTTGAAGACACTGAAATTCGCCCATCATAATACATACATATATATAATATTATATTATGTTATAAATTATAATTTATTTACATTTCTGTTACAGGCCCAACAATAAAAGCCCGAATCCGGGCCCCATCCAAAACCCAAACCCGCGCATACTTAGGGTTTCCAAAGAACCCTAGCCTCACACGCTCCATCAGCGCCGTTCTCCCCCGTTGAAGACCCAGCGCCGCGCAGCAGTCCCAACTCCCGAGTTTCACGGCCGCACGCCTCCTTTCACGGTCATTTCTCACATGTTCAACAAACACACAACGACGTGAGATACAAGGATACATCCACAACCAACCAAGCAGTGATTTAGTCCAAATAAAATGCTAGAAAATCGGGACTAAGACTAGTATTCTTAGACTATAAATACATGTAAAGTGAACATCTTCAGGAGGATCCAGGATACATAAAAGATTACCCCAGAAATCTTACTAGAGTACTAGGAAAATACAGAGGAAAGGAAGCACTTGTACCTTTTCGAACAGCAAAGAAATATAACAAAGGTAGAACCTTTTTTCGTTTCGTTGGTGACTTGCATGCGTTGTTGTGTTGTTTTCGCTCAAAAACATCAAAGTTTTCGGCCGATGAATGAGATGAGGCCCTTATTTTCGAAAATATTTTTTAGATCTAATATTCTCTAAAGCTCGGGTTTTAAAAACACACTTGGACTTTTGAGTAGAGAAGAAGAAGAGCTCTTTAAAAAACGGTTTTTTTGTTGTATACCATCACCCATGACCGGCGGCCGGCGAGGTGAAAGCCACCGTTTTCTGGAAACGAGTGGCGGCGTTCATCGTTTTGGATGAACAAACTAAAGAAAACGAGAGAGAGAGAGGAGGGGTTTTCGTCTGGGGAAGAGAGAAATGAAGAACATTAAAATTTTCTTTTTCTTTTGGCCTTCATATTTGCAACCATCAGGACCCACGCCTGATCCATGACTCGACCCATACCTGCAAACGACCCACGTGTTTTCGTTTAAATAGGGTAAACCACAGTTTTAGTCCTCCGTTCTTTAGTTCTTCTATTATCGCCCCAATTCCTCCTAAAATCGATACACACTTCTGTTTTTCATTCAATTCGGTCCCATGTATTTAAGTTTTAATTGTTATTATTTCATCTATTTGTTTTATTTTATTTATATGTATATTTTTCTTAATATTTTATTTATTTATAATACTATCATTTTCTTTTATTTATATTTTATTCTTTTTATATACGTTAATATATGTAAACTTTTTAAATTATTAGCTTTTCTAGTTTTATTTTATTTTTAACTATATATATACATATGTTTCTTCTCTAATATTATATGTATACACGTTTCATCATTCTCATTTGCTTTGTATTAAAAAAACCATATCTCATTATTATTATATACATATTATATTATATATAACCTAACGTTTTGAATTATCACTCCTTTAGGCCCTACCCCCTCTTGGAAATGACCAAACCTTTATTTATTTTTTTAAAATCCGTATCCCTTTTTTTAAAATTTGTATCCCTTTTTTTATTTTCGGTGGAGTGGCGTTTTTTTCCTATTTATTATTGTTATTACTTAATAGTTATATATATTATCATTTTTAGTTTCTCGTATTTTATTACTATTTTTTTTTATCCATTTTTTTTCTTTTTCTGTATTTGTATTTGTATTTTTTACTTTTGCTTAGTTTTTCTAATCTGTTCTATTAATTTATTAATTATGTGTTTATTTTCATTTTATTAATTTATTATCTTATTTATTTATTTATCTTAGCTTTTTTTTACTAATTCTATCTTCCTTCTTGCTTGGGTTTATTTATTTTATTCATTTATTCCTTATTTTTCATCTAACATTTTATGATTTTCTTTAAAAGGCATGATTTAAATCCGTCAAAGGTAAGTTTTGGATCGCTATTTTACCTTTTAATTTAAAATGCAATTTTCTTAATCAAAGACAACTGGAAAGTACGTAGTACCGAAAGGACGGTTCAAGGGTGCTAATCCTTCCTTAACCGTAACCGACTCCCGAACCCGACACATTTTTGGTAAGACGCAGATCAGGTAAGAAATAGGGTATCCGATCAACCCATTTATTTTTAAATAAATGATCGGTGGCGACTCTAACCCAATTCATTCAAGTCGAAGCCCAATTTCGGGGTCAACCGAAAGACGGTTGCGACAGCTTGGCGACTCTGCTGGGGACACAGGTAAGTGAGTCAGGCTAAGGTAATTTCCAGTTGTCCTTTTAACGAAAAGGATAAGTTTAAATTTTAAGGTAATATTTCGATCCTTATTACTTATTTTTGGTTATATTTTTTCGAGTAAATAGTTGGACTGACCGTTTTCTAATGATTTCAGCTTTCCAAACATTTTCATCTAAGGCTCTAAACCCGAGCTCCGAACCCGTTTTAAGTGGGGGTGAAAGCGACGCCTTCGTGTGAATTTATTCACCGTATGGGCCTAGCAAGTAGCCTTCGGGATTCATATACCTTATGCCTTCGTGTGAATTTATTCTCCGTATGGGCATAAGGGAATGTGTCCTCTCGAGTTTAACTTAGTCCACACAAGCCTGTGATGGGTTTCGGACTAAGGGTCTGGTCGGTCCAAGGGGGCGCCAGCAAGGAGAACTCGAGTACCGTTTTTAGAACCCAAACCGGGAGGCTTTGAATAAATAGAGCCTACCCCAAAACCACATTCCAAAACCTAGGACATTTCTTTCCTAACCTTTTTATTTTTTATGTTTTTTTTTCATTTACCATTTATTTTTATTTATTTTTATCTATTTCTATTTTACTAACGTTTTTGCCTTTGTGTTTGTTTTCTAGCATTTGCATCATTACAAGAGGCTATTGATCCCTAAAAAAATGTTCGTTATACACAAAAATAATTCGAGTTAATGGACAAAGGTGTTGTAATACAAGAGATTGAAAACGCTGAGGCACGACTATGGTCCGAGAAGGCTCAGAAAGAGAAGGGAGACAGTCTTCAGGGAAACTATGTGTCAGAACTGGTTAGTTATGCCGCTGTCAGCCTGAAACAGAATAATGTCCAGGAGCTGCGAAACATTTGGGACAGTTGGAAGAATGACAGAAAGCAGAAGTTCAGCCAACGATATGGTGATATCGCCCTCTTGCTCTATGTCAAGACTGATGAGCCCTTACTCCGAGCATTAATTCAATTCTGGAATCCGGGATATAGTTGTTTCACCTTTAACCAGGAAGACATGGTGCCTACTATCGAAGAGTATACTACTCTACTACACTGCGAAAGCATCAAGCTTGAGCGAGCCTACATTAAACACATCAAAAGTCAGCCCTTCAAGAATGCACTGGCCAAAGTTGCAGGAGTAGATGAGAAATGGGTAATCGATCGGACTCAGCGTAGAGGCAGTGGAGAAGGAATTGAATGGATACACATAAAGCAACTAATGAAAAACCACCCTGATGAGTGGAAGACTATAGACTTTTTTTGCACTGGGTCTGTACGGTTTGATTATCTTTCCGAAAGCTTTGGGGTGCATTGACGCTGCTGTGGTGGAACTATTTGAGCAACTTTCTAAACGAGTTAACCCAGCACCGGCCATCTTGGCCGAGACCTTTCGATCGCTCAACCATTGCCGAAGAACTGGCGGAGGAAGATTTACCGGGTGTATTCAGCTCCTTCATGTCTGGATTCACAGCCACTTCTGGAAGACTAACGGGGTTGCCTACCGCCGTTTCAGCACCACCTATTCACCTCTAGGTGAATTTATTACCTTAAAATGGCATGAAGGCGCCTCGAAAGAAAAATAGATGAAGGTCTTTACGCATCTTCAAGACCGAGATATTGTCTGGGGAGCAGTCGGGTATGCTCCGCTATTAGCACTTAGACAGTATGGAGCACGTCAGTTTGTCCCAGTAACATGCGGGTTAGCTAGGTCAGAGTTTGAGTATCACGGCGACAGCTATAAGAAGATGATCAAAGAAGCAGCCGATTCGTGGAGGAAAGTATTCCAGATGGATGTTGTAGCTGCCAGAAGCATGCTCACTCCGGATTATATGGAGTGGTGAAGATTGAGAAAGAATGACAATATCCCGGTGCCAGACTGTGATGACACCCGGACCATGGAAGAACATCTCAGGGCATGTCCCTTCTGAACTCGAGATAGCCAAGACCGAGTTTGAAGCCGTGAATAATGAGCTGAAGCAAAGAATAAAGGAACTTGAAGCTGAACGTTATCAGTGGAAGCTTGATGCTGACTCTCAGAAAGATCGGGCAGAAAAACTGGAAAAAGAACAAAAAAGAGTCCGTTTTGAGCTCGAAGACTTGAGAAAGGGGTATCAAGATAAGGTCAAGGATAACTCCAAGTTGAAGGTAACCTCTGAATACTGGAAAGACGAAGCTCATAGCCTGAAAAGGAAGTTTGAGGGGCCTGATGAGAAAGCTTGGAAGGAACAGATGAAGACTGCCCAAAGACGCTTGGCAGATAGTCAATATCAGAACCAGCACTTGAGAGTTCGGATAGCTGACTTAGAAAAACAACATGAGAAAGATGGCAAGACAATAGCTCAGTTAGAAGCTATTGTAGATGGGTTCAAGAGGGAAGCAAACGAGCTTCAGATAGTGCCTTTCGACGGAGGATTACAATGGTGTTTCCGTTGGGAACAAGCACAACGAAGGGTGAGGGCCCGAGACGCAACCATACGAGATTTCTTGGATCAAGTGCAAAAAGCAGCCCGTCATCTTCACGGTCTAGCAAGGGAAGCTGGTTGGTTCGACAAGGCATTCAACCAGTGACAGATGAAGGCAGAAGACTTGTCAACATACTGAAGCTGTTCGGGGTCTAGAGGATTTAGTCCGAATATACCTTTAATCTGTTTTATGTCTCTAAAAAGATAAAATTTTTGTCTGAATAAGGATTATTTATAATAATGAACACTTTTCTGGATCAATGCCTCCAATTGCATACATCATACATTGCATTCTTGCATTTTATATT